CTGCCTGGTGCGACGCTTGCAACTTTCAGCGTACAAATTTTTTTCTGTTATCTAAAAGTAGTACAGCGTAGTAATTCGTTTTTATAAAGGCCCCCCTTTCTATATTTTGTAAAGGTTCCTTCCTCTTTGTTGCCTCCGCAAAGAAATGTCGCAAAAATGCGCTTCCTGAATTCGCCATGTCCGTCCGTGTGTCTGCACATTTATACAACTCGAGATCCGCCGGACGGATTTTCATTAAATTTAGTAGGGCTTATAACCGCCTAAAATTATGGGCACATTTAATATTTTATGTGTATTTCGATTTTGATTTATTAATTTGGCTTGAAGTAAGCGAGTACGTCGCGGAGCTTGGAATTCTGTTGTGGGGTCTGGGGTGGGAAACCTGGGAAACCTGAGCACGAGACAGTTTCTGCCACCATAAGTCGAGTTGAGAGGGGTCAAGCCGATCGGAGCAGATCCTGGGGCCGATGGCTCCAGATGTGGAAATGCGTTACACAGGATGACGTGACTTCCGTTGGTTTTAACCAGTAGGAATGCCTACAGCTGGTGCAGGGGTGAGGAACTCCGTTCGAATCCAGCCAGCTGTCAGTGAGGAACTGGTGTTACGTCGGACGCCACTGCTTGGAGGCGATGCGTCGCTTAGTACGAGACGGGGGGCCCTGTTTGTCAACTGCACCGGCGAACGGACGAGTTTACGACTCGGGAACTTGAACTGACGTGAGGGAGAAATCGAGCACTTCATTACTCGAATTCAGTAACTCGCTGTTAAGGGTATAAACTGGCCAAGTGAAGTAAATACATTTACCGTCCAAATGAATCGTTGTGGCTTGTCTGTGGTACATGGGCTGTGTGTTTCCCCGTTAATGCGACCCTCGCGTCAGAGTGAGACCTGTACCAGCTGAGCTGCCTATCCTTACCCATCCATACCTCAGCAAATGTCGCCTCAGTGGGAGATCGGGTCGACTTCGATGATTACAGTCTGTTGGGAGAAACTGCTGTGTTCTTTGGCGTTACACCTTGTGCCTTAGCCAAGCTACACGGCGTCATCTCCCAGAAGAGAGTAATATTCGTAATGACCGCTATGAGAGCCTCAAATGTGAACATTATATTCAGGATACTGACTCACCTTTGTCCACCCATTCCAAGTTTGGTCAAAATCGGACAACAGTAACAGACATTTCCCGTGAAGAAGCTTATATTGCTGTCTGCGTGCTTCTTGAGCGCAAAATGCTGATTATTTCAAAGGAACGTTATGGAGAAAAACGAAATGTACAGTTGTACATAGAACTACCTTTCCATAAATCTTGTGGGTTTCCATAAAAGTAAGAGTAAGAGATTAAGCATGTCAAAATTGGTACTCTGTGAGTACATTTCTTCACTCGCTTAATTCGCCTACTGGAAACTTTATCTTATTTCTTTAATATTTTTTGTTTTGTTTCCTTTGTTACTTGTCGTTTAACAGGACGAAAACAAATTAATTTACTCATTGCACTCTGTACAATTTATCCAAAGATTACTTCAAACATATTGACTCAGATCTGTAAACACTGACCATTGTGCATAATGGCACGTGACAGAATGATTGTAGACGGGATTTGGATTGGTAATAGGATTTATTGAACACACACAACTCGTGAATACATTTTACAGTTCACTCTCACACACAGACTAGTGTTCTCAGTCACGGTCTTTACTGTCGTTGTTTGGCAGCGGCTTTAGCAGTGGGCGTTCCCATTCCTGGGCTCCATAACTCTCCCCGTCCTCAGCTGCTAGCTTTTCAGTTCTCACAACCGCAAAATGGCAGCTGGTCCTCGTTATGTAACATCAGCGCGGACCGCACAGAAAACACCGCTTCAAACAGCTCTTCTGTTGTTGCGTGCGAGTCCGTTGCGGCCATCACGTGACGGCTACCGAGCCATTGCCTAAGAACGAGCGTGTTTACAGCTTCACAACTGTGGCTCTCAGCAGATGTGACACAATAACAACACTTACGCGAGAACACGTGTAAAATGTCCTGAGTTGGCTAGTAGGCCGAAAGAACTGGGTGTAAGTAATTCATCTTCATGCCACAGTTGTGTTGACGGATCTTCTCGTATTTTTTTTATTTCGTTCCATTTCTCCCAGTAACTGCGAAGTGAACGGCCACTGGGTTGTTACAAGTTTTGCAGCCTGTCGTGATGTGTTCATCAATACTGACAGTTTAAATTTTCTGAGAACCGCGGGAGCCGTAGCAATTTTACTTCAAAGCGGGGCAACAAGAACATTTGATTACAAAATTTATGTTTAAATCATTTGAGAATATATTTTTGCGGATCGCCCAGCAGTTGTCAGTTCTGTACGTTCAAACATAGATGGCAACACTTTTAAACATGCTTTCAATTTCTGCTACCGGTGTTTGCTGTGTGCATTTCTTTCTTTCTTCTTTAAATTTTGATTTTGCTCTAAAATCCTTGGAGAGGGGTGATGCCTGCCCCTCCCTGCCCTCTACCGACGCCCATGGTTCGACCGCTGTCCTCCCGCCCTGGGTGTGTCGCCCAAGAGAAGTAAGTGCATTAGGAACAGACAGTAGACGTTTAGAAGTAAACCAGATGCACCGTCTCCTCGTATTTGTGTTACTGACGCAGAGCACATACACGGGTGTTCCTGCCATGAGCCGTTAAGTGCATTGCATATATACTCACACACACCAGGAAGACCCGCTGAAATGAGCAGCTCTATTGGTCTTGTTCCCCGCGTCGTGTGAAGTTATTGTTTGCATCTCATTGTCCTTCTCTTGATATCATTTCACGTCATAGTTTGAGCAAGAAACAAAGCTCTCACTAAAGCCACTTTGGGTAGTGTTTTTAGGAACTCATTTGCGGACACGCGATGGGCTAGAGAGAACAAACAGTTTCGCTACAGCACGCACACATGAATGCAGCAGTCTCTTTGAGAATCCGCCATAAAAATGTTTAAAAATGATTTTATGGAAGTTTATAACAAAAGCTGAAAGGGTTTTTGTTTACCGAAATGTGAGAGATCTTGATAAGACTTGGCCGGACGGACCGTTGCAACAGAAAGTGAATGACGTACATTTCGAAGCGATAAACCGAAACGCAACATCAATAGTCACATGACTGGGTGACTGTTGATGGGGTTTGGATTGCCAGTCGGATACACCGAACGTGACGGTTGAGAGGGAGCGACTTTGTTGAGGATCTGCTGCATGAGCCGCGACACGTCGCACCTGTAGGCAAATTTCAGGGCGACCGCACACCAACTGCGTCAAGAGAAGCATCAAGACATGAGACAAAAGACGCAGTCTTGTTTCATTCGTCATTCGTCAGCATGAAGCTGACGTCAGCATCATGACTCAGACCGGTGTGCGGCGGTTTTCATAATCTCATTCGTTTCAAGACATCGTGTCTTGACTGTTACATGTCTTGACGCATGCCGGTGTGCGGCCTACCTTACGGAAGCAGAGCTCTGTATGAGTGTGTCTGAAGGTTTCTGTGTTCTGGGATATGACGCCAAGTATCCCGTTGGGGTCCACACGGCGTCATGTCCCAAAACATAGAAACCTTCATAACAACTGATGTGAGAACCTCAAATACTGGATGACTGTTTATGATGATGACGTAACAACCTACGTCACTATGTCACGATGGCACACACTCATTGCAGTAGTGGATGAAGTACAAACAGCCGTGAAGACTCATAGGTTTATGAGACGTCGAGGCTCCCACATTTTCTAAACCAGCTGTGTCAAACACGCGGCCCCCATAGCCACAAAGTGCGGCTCCTCAAATTTTAGAGCTAATTGATATTAAAATCAATATTAAAATTTTAGTAGAAATATTTTTTGTAAAGATAATTTCCCAACAGACCAGAAGACAAGAAGTCTCACGCAGACATAAATTAGCAGGCTGCAGGAAAAGTGATTCTGAGAATTGCAGAAGGGTTTGTCCAACTAACGGTTTGTAAAGTTCGTGAAGGACAAACTGTTGTATTTCAGAAGGTTAATGCACTAAAAGCCGCACAGCCTCACCACCCCAAGTATTTCCAAGAATCCCTTTTGGAGGCGTAGTAAGAATGCAAGGAGGGTAGCAATGAGAGATAAGTGCAAGGGATTTCTACCTTCAAAACTAGCTTGCAACCCCCAGCCATTCTCTAATGGGCTGCTGGCAAACTTTCACTTTTATGACCATTGAGACAAGATACACTTTCCTACTAGTCCGGTAGTCTCTTGTACATTGTCATTCAGTTCATTTTCACACAGAGACAGGTGCTAATGTTACATTGTGATGAACGTATAAAGGTTATAATTAAACATTAAATTATCAACTACGAGTATCAAAATCTAATGTATTGTAGCGTGACACATAAAACACGCTACATTGGTATGTAGTATATTTCTATTTTGAAGTGCGGCCCTGGACTATTATTTATAGGGCTGAGGTGGCCCTCTGTACAAGTTGAGTTTGACATGCCTGTTCCAGACATTTGACTCACAGATGGTGGCGAGGTTGTCAGCCTTACGCGCCGGCCGTCCTTTACCCCCGGGAACATTCCTGGTATTCATTTCTGTTAGAGGCTGAGTTGACTCCAGGAAGAACTAGGTTAGTTGAAAAATCCAGTGACTAATCGTGAATCGAACCCGTGATCTTCCTACCTGTAGCATAGTGCCTCAAGTAACTAACGTCCCATTATTATATACCAAACACTTAACAATTGCCACAACATAATTTTCGTGTTTTTACGACACTTTTAGTATCTGCCACTGCTAACATCGAATGGTAGGTGATTATTGAATTAATTTTAAAGGAAGTGGCCTTGGCCATTTATCCTAAGGGAATAGCGAAACGAATGAGAAACCTCAGTCTCTGTTTCGGCCGACGTTCGGACCGGGAGCCTCAGGGAACACGTGTTCCCGCTCTCACAGCAATCTGCAGGCGACTTGCCCGCGGAGGAACACGCGCAATGCCCTGCTAACGAGTGCCTGTTTTTTTTTCTTGCTGCAGATATTCGGGTCACCGAGCACGCCGATCCTGGAGAACCCTGAGTATCAGACCAGATGGTACTTCAAGTACTTCCTCGGGAAACGTGAGTACCCGTATGCTTTCAGCTGTCGCTTCGCTCTCCGCACACAAGGATCTCCTCGTTAAGAAAGGAGTGCTATTGTAAATTATATTAAATAACAGAGATTATGTTACTCTCCGAAAATATAAACCTACTATTTTTTTATTGTTAATGGGGTGGGACCAAGTCCCTTGTACTGCGGCCACTTCTGGCCTATTGTACCAGCCCCAGATGATAGGTGAGGGTGATTGTGGAGCAGTTGGTGGGATGAAGATTGGCAGGGGAAACCGAAGTACTCGGAAAAAACCTGCCCCAGCGCTACTTTTTCCACCACAAATCCCACTTGACCAGACCCGGGATCGAACCCGGGCCGCGGCGGTGGGAAGCCAGCGACTAACCGCTTGAGCTAAGGCGCGGCCCTCTGGCATCCATTGTCGTCTATACATCGGTCTGAAAGCGGCTCCTCCTGAGGCCTGTCGACCGAAATGTTCTGTAAGCCGGATCCTTTGCGTATTCGTGTACGTTCTACATGTCTCGCCCATCTCTTCTTGACTGATTCACCCTCCGTCCAGTACCGACCTTACCTCCACTCAACCTTACGTCTTGTTTACGTGACCCTTACATGGAGACAGAGCTTCGTTTCTATCGTGTGGTTGAGAAGGCAGTTATGAAATTCGTCATTATATAATTTTTCCGTTACCCTGTAATGGAGTCACCTCTTGTGGAAAAATTTCACTCGGTTGTATGATCTAAAACTCGTTCTATTTTCTTTTACATAAAACAAAAGTTCGGTATTCTGGGATATAGAGCCGTGCAGTGCGCTCGAAGTCAAATGATGTTTCGGAGGAAGATGTCGCCTCCATTTTCAGAGGTGAATAAGAAACCAGTATGATGCAGGAAAGGAGAGGAAATTGGCGCGGTCTTTGACGCTGAAAGTGTATTCGATATGTGTCTCCAAAGCGTCGGTTGACTTTCACGGGGCTACTCAGCGTTATGTTAGAACTCTTCGCAGTCCCGGCAGTCACGGCTGTGAGAACCTCGGTTCAAGTTGCAAATATGGCGTCTGTTGTGAAGGCAAGCGAATCTGGACTTGACGGTAGCCCATAGGGAAATTCCTTAATCTAAGCATCCCTTGGTATTTTTTGTTGTTGGTATTAGTTCGTAGTTAAATGGACTGGCTGTCCTCTCATTTCTCTTGCGTTCTCACAGTGCGGAGTTTCATTGCAGAGATAATCTTTATGCTCTACCTTGTTTAGCTTTTATTACTTTGCTGACATTTTGATGTGGGCGCCAGCTGTACAGGGAAACGGAAACCAGAATGACATCTGCTGAAATGAAGTTTCTGAGACGAATTTCAAAATGAATTAAACATAAAAGAAATTAGGACATATTAAAATAATGAAAAACCGGAGCCCATACTGGAGAGAAACCATTTGCAGTCAGCATGTCGACGGAACGCGACTATAAGATGTATTAAACATGTAACCGCATTGACCGAGGAAGACGTTTGAATGAAGAGATTTCTAGAAAGAAGAACTCGGCCAGTTGTTCAGCCCCTTCACAACAAGATGATGGCGATGAAATGGCGTTCATTAGGCCGCGCCATAGCTCAAGCGGGTAGTCGCTGGCTTCCCATCGCGGCGGCCCAGGTTCGATCCCGGGTCTGGTCAAGTGGGACTTGTGGTGGGTAAAATGGCGCTGGGGCAGGTTTTCTCCGAGTACTTCGGTTTCCCCTGCCAATCTTCATTCCACCAATTGCTCCACAATCACCCTCACCTATCATCTGGGGCTGGTACAATAGGCCAGAAGTGGCCGCAGTACAAGGGACTTAGTCCCACCCCACTAGCAACACAACAAATAATAGCGTTCATTACGAATGTAAATTCTTATTACAGGACTCCTGATTAACCGGAAGGAAGTATCCGGGTAGCAGGTCAACCGATGCCTCCAATGCCGAAAGACAAAGTCCATGTGAAGACGTACTGAACTGTTATTTCGCTTTTGGGCCCATATTTAGAAACTTCTTTGTTTCGTTGTTCTTTTTAAAGTGCAGAAATGGGCACAAGGGCTTCTCAGAACCCACATAGCCTTCGAGCAAAACACAGTTATACTTGCACGTGTCGATATATAAATCCAAATGCACGCGCTAGTTCACATGTTCGTGTTAGTGACTGCCCGGGAAAATCGATTTCCCATCCACGTAGGATAATCGAAAGTTCGTCCTCTGAATGTACGTTTGTTGTTATGGTTGGGTTTCCTCTGTTCATTGTACTCAGTAACGAGTCGTACGTACTCCGTGTTACCCGTGGTTACTCTAGAGCAGGGGTTCCAAAAAATCTTTGACTACGGATTAATTTATGCCTGTATTCCATGTAGCGGGGCGGCCAAATGCTAATCGAAACATTTTAAGAGTATTTAATGAAATGAGAGTGAAATGTGTTCAGACAGTTACACGTCCGTAATTTAAAAATTCAAAGCAATATAAAGATCTTGCTTCTTTATCTGTGCGGAATTAGAAGACGTTGACTGCTTCTGTGGTCTAGTGGTCAGAGTTCCTGGCTACAGATCCAGAGGTCCGGGTTCGATTCCCGGCGCTACTAGAGTTTCTTTTCTGAGAAGTAGTGTGTCTGGAACGGGGTCCCCTCAGCCTCGTGATGATAATTGATGAGCTATTTCAAGTAAATAGCGGCCCAGGTCTAGAAAACCGAAGTTAAAGGCCGTGGGGATTCGTTGCGCTGACAACGCAACACCCCTCTATCTGCTAAAGTTGGCACTAACTTCGCCGACAAGCGTTGGTCGCTCGATCGGTATAGTTCGCTTGCGGACTAAAATCACCGAGTTTGTTTTGTTTTTGACTGTGAAAACGGAGACCGGGAACTTGAAGAAATTCGCTCTACACTAATGGTCACTGCACTACAAGAATGAGACACGTTCCTTTGTACTTTCCAGTGCACCAGAACTACGTCGGGGCGGACGGCGACAAGACGCCGTTCTTTCTGTCCGTCGTTCTCACGGACGCGAACAACCAGTGCGTGCCGCAGTACCGAGCCATCCTCTGGAAGAAAACGGTAAGAACCATGTTACACGTTTCTCTTGTTTGCGTCTGGCAGCGCGCTTGTTTCGTCCGAGCTTGTGATATGGCTGTAACCGTGTGGATGTCTCCGTGTCTGAATCAGGCGATGCATTTTCATGAAATTTAGCACGTAATTTTTGGCAAGTTCCCAAATAAAATTTTCGCCTGTTAATCTCTCCATGTCTGCCTATCCACACTGCTTGAGAACTACTGAAGTGTCTTCCATTACGTTTGATACTGCATTTCAGTTCTGGTTAAACTCAAAGAACACTAACGGACACTTTACGTGGGGATCCACCTACACTTCCGCTAGTGTCAGAAGTGTTACGTCATCATTGGAAAGTTGCATACGCAGGTCGGAAACCCAAACAGACGTACGGAGAATTCTTGCCTGCACGAGGTCTGAAGTGCCCTAGTTCACGCAGCAGATGGGATTTACCTGGTGCGGCGGGCCAGGTCCAACGTAATTACTGTGCCCACAGCCAGCTGAAACCAGAAATGTGACTATCAATTCAACCATAAATTGGCATGCAGTCATCAACCTCGAAGCCAAAACCCCGATGCTCGGGAAGTGGTGGGGTTAGCAACACAAACATCACTCCCCGGAGTGAGCGCAATATTGTAGTAAAGTTTCTACCATTCTGTGAACTTCTTGTCACGTGATGTGGTGACTATAGACGGGGGTTGGATTAGTAGTCGAATTTATTGGATATTTTTATGTAACAACTCGACACTATACTTTAAAAATCACGATCACACACAGACTAATATTCTCAGTTACGGTTTTCACTACGCTGCTTGGTAGCGGCTTCCAACAATGGACGTTCCTCTATTCCCAGGCTCACGTCCTAGCGGCCTGGTGGCCATCTCACACCAAACTCTTAAAAATGTGTCTCTGTAGAGCCTTTATATAAAAACTATAAAAAGACACGAAACGGAAAGTCGAGGTCTCCTTCATCCAGCTGAAGCCAATCTTGGATATTTTCTTGCGTGGTTTCCGTCTCTCCTGCTGCCCTCAGGACAGTCTGAAAGTCCTGTCGCGCTAATCCCTCTTGCTCCTGAATCCCACGTGTACTCATTCAACTGTGAGCGGAATTTTTCATATTTCGATCCGGATTAGCTGTAACCGGAATAGCGAGGGTTTACTGTATTTCCTTCTTCTCCCTCGCCGCCCCCCTGTGCCGTGGAGCTCGTCCTGACGTAGTATCGTGTGGCAGGGGCGCTGCATCGCAAAATAAATCCCGGGTTAGCGACACCTGCTGTGGCAGGTAATGGATGTATTTCTTGCCTGTACATCCGATCTGAGGGCACGTTCTGGAAGTGATCGCGTCCCGGAAGCGTGGAGCTGTGAGGCGGGCGTGTTCCGACATCAGCGCTCAACTTTAAACACAGATTAATAAAACCAGAGAAGAGGAAATGTTTTTTCGCTGCCCCCACTTCCTCATCCTCTCAACATTCTGCCTCTTCAGAAAATGTAATTTCGCATAAAATTTGTTGTCTGTTTCCAAAAGATTAAAATTTATAATTCTGTCCTTTGATTTTATGTGCACGGACTCTCCTCTCTGCTTCTGAAGGACGCTCAAAGGTTGAATGTACTTGAAAGCAAAGTGCTGAGGAGAACAGAAGTGATGCATGCCGGGAACTGAGAAAAATATATTACTTTGATCTTCATATTCGGTAGCTTGCAGTTTGTCTGTTGCTTCGTGTTTTGTTATGAAACCAGTGAGACCGTGCCCGGAGAAATACACAGCACGGACAATGGAAACCAGAAACATAGGCAATATCCGGGCTTTCATGCCCGTGAACATGTAAATTTCTGCTGTGGCGCCGTGTAGTATGATGGAATGGTACCAACTTTGCAGAAACATATTCCTCCATGCTTAGGTAGAAGACAGAATTTACTCTCGTATAACCTGAAGATTGGTTCGTAAGAAAGTTTGGTAACTCTCAAGCGGATACACGGCATTAAATCCCAGGATATATTAATCTTCAAGAAATTCGTAGTCTTGTACTTTACAGTGAATATCACTGAACAATAAGGCCACATGGGAGGCCTGGGCGAACCGTGGACGATAATATTAAACTGGTTCATTAATAAAATTGTGGTTATTTGAAAGGAATTGAATTGCCACAAAGTAGTTCTGGGCTGTTATCTGACATAAAAAATTATCTTTTGATTTCTTATTGTAATTAATTTAGTACTGACAGCTGTACTTCTATTAGGTACCAGGGAATCTTTCCCGCGTGGTAAAGCAGCCGGGGCATGAAGCTGACCACTCACCTCTATCTAGTGCCGAGGTCAAGAATGTTGGAGCTATACCTCAACTTCTCAATTCTTCATGTCTTTGTGCTTAATTAATTAGGCATAGTGACAACTTTACGTTGTTTTACTTGAACTTGTTCAGCGACCACCATAAGCCAGACAGTCGGTCAGTATATCAGTCAGACCGGTGGGCCTCAAGCCGTTTGACAGATCGGTCTGGCAATGAACACACCAGTTATCTGATCGCTAAGAAACCACCAAACTGTTGGCTTGATGAAGACTTTCTACTTTGTAAAAATGCGGGTCTCGCACTGTTATTACCTGCTTACAGGTATGCAAAACAGAAAATTCATTCCTTTTCTGAAGATCATTGCGTCAGACTCAGCCAGATGTATGGCAACAGTGCAGCGTCCATGTTGTCACACCTTACACCTCATGAGAGCACGCGCAGTAAATCTGGTCGAGTCCATTGAGGCAGCGTCTACACGAGCGCACAAAATGCGCCCGTTGTAACGAACGTCATGACGTCCGTTGTAGAAATAAACAAGAGAGGCGAATGCTACGCTTTTTTCTGGCTCCACTGTAGATAAAAAACTACGCACCGCATTCTGCAACTATGGGGTGTCCTCAGCAACGTTCGTTACAACGGACGCATTTTGTGCGCTCGTGTAGACGCTGCCTGAGATGAGAATTTTAAGGTGTGTGTCGTTAGTCAGGGGCCTTAGTTACGATGTGTAACTCTCCGTCTCTCTCACATTGCAGTTGCAACCAGTGCCCCGCTACATGTTGCCACATTTCCCCTCTATTCTCACGCCTAACACAGAGGTGGGAACTGAACTCATGGCCTGGATATAATTTAACTTGCTGCAGCCTCTCTCTCCACCCTTAGAGGTAATACATATTTAAACAAAGCACCACGAGGCTTTTTGTAACTGTGAAAAATTCATTATCTTGAAACTTCACTGACTAAACAGTAAACTTAATCTTAGAGACTGGGTTTCAGGAACGTCCTCCATAGGAGTACACGTTTCATTTATATCCAGGTTAGTATAGCGGCAACGCTTTGCAGTTACGTATATCGGAGAGGTACCTAGTTTCATCTCGGCCGAATTTCCCCCCCCCCCNAGAGCCCTCTACTGGTCCCTATCCTCAGCCAGATCTATCCAATCCATACCATCCCATCCTACCTCTCTAAGATCCATTCTAATATTGTCCACCCACCTACGCTTTGTTCTTCCCTGTGGTCTCTTTCCTTGTGGCTTTCCCACCAATATCCTATACCCATTCCTCGTCTCCCCCATTCATGCTACATGACCTGCCAACCTCATCCTCCTTGACTTTATCATTCTAATTATACTTGGAGAAGAGTACAAGTTATGAAGCTCCTCATTGTCCAGTTTTCTCCACCCTCCTGTCACTTCATCTCTCTTCGGTCCAAATATTCTCCTCAACACCCTGTTCTCAAACACCCTCAGTCTATGTTCCTCCCTTAATGTCAGAGACCAAGTTTCACACCCAAACGGAACCACAGGCAAAATTATAGTTTTGTATATTCTAATTTTTATGTTTTGGGACAACAGACGAGAAGACAAAAGGTTCTGGACTGAAAATCATCACCCACTAACAATTCATAATCTTCTCATATCACTCGATGCCGTTCAAATATCAACTTTGAAGAACCAAAAATATTATCAGGATTTAGAGTGACTATAGACGGGGGTTGAATAGGCGAATAGATTTATTGACCACTTACAGGTCGTAACTACAAATAACTATAACACTATTGCTGACTTTCACACTATACAGTTAACTAGACCACACAGTCTTGTGTTCTCAGTCTTTTACTAGACGTTTCCGGGTAACCGCTTGAACAATGACTATTTCCTCTGCATTTTTTTTCACTGTACATTTCCTGGTAACGCATCTTAACAATGGACATTCTTCAGCTTTCGTGGTCAGACAGTGGCCCGCTGGTTAACACTGCACACCTGAACTCTCGACTGAACTGTAGTCAGAGTAAGAGTTACTTCACGACTGGCGGGTTACCGCCAATCAGTTCATGTTGGCGACAAGCCCCTTGAGACTCACGGCCAGCATTTTTTCAACTGAGCACTTGCGGTTATAATCCTTATGTAAAATCTGGGTCTGTACTTTACAATTGGCCCTCGCCAGCGCAGTCATTCTCAGTTCCGACTCCCACGGGACTCATTACCACATTTAACTGTCTCAAATTCGATACTTCCAACCTCGAGGGCCAGATCCCCGTATTTATATTCCCAAGGAACAGGGTGCCCCAGTTAGACCCCCAGGCACTGGGTTTCCTTTTCGTCACCTCCTACGGTGAGGTTTTTGAACCCGCCACGGGAGCCATAGCGCCAATTGTCTTCAAGGAAACTCCTCGGCAGGCACTTCGCAGGAAACGTGGCCCCTCTATTGATGTAGATGCGTGTTTACTGTGCCGTTGCATAGCAACGGTCGCAGCGCGTACACATAGAAAACATAATTCTTTATTGTTGCGTGCGTGTATGTTGCAGGCGTTACCTAACAACGGCCGCTGTTTACCGAGTGACTGATTACAATGGATTTATACGCCACAGTATTTATTACGAGAGCCATCCTACTGGAAATACTGAAGGGGGCTTTAACATTAACCAACGCATCTCAGGACCGTCCATGTCGAAAGAGGAGAACGCATGGAACTTCACTCCTGTTCCCCTATTCGCCTTCATGGC